TATACACTACACTATACACTACACTATACACTACACTACTATACACTACACTACTATACACTACACTATACACTACACTATACACTACTATACACTGCACTATAGACTACACTACTATACACTACACGATACACTACACTACTATACACTACACTACTATAGACTATACACTACACTACTATAGACTATACACTACACTACTATACACTACACTGTACACTACTATACACCACTATACACTACACTATACACTACACTACTATACACTACTATACACTACACTACTATACACTACACTATACACTACTATACACTACACTACTATACACTACTATACACTACACTATGCACTACACTATACACTACACTATACACTACACTACTACACACTACTATACACTACACTATACACTACACTACTATACACTACTATACACCACTACTATACACTACTATACACTGCACTATACACTACACTATACACTACACTACTATATACTACATATTGGGCTTTATGGAGGCCCGTCGTTAGGTGATTAGTCGTTAACAGGGGTGGTCGTTAAGAGGGGTTCTCCTGTATTGTAAATTATTACTTTTAATTAAATACACCGTGAATACTAGAGTGTATTTTCTATATAAAAATTATCCTATAGGAGTCGCTGCTTAAACGCTGCTAATTATTCAGTTGTCACAGAATCCATATGCTTCTTTATTTAAATGTATGTATTTTTTTAAGGAATGCAGTTTCACGCGACGTGTCATGCGCTGCCACAGCCATCTGCCTTCCCTCATTGCTCTGCCGCTGTTACTCTTGAGATAAGCGTACATTTGCACAATGCATCACTTCCCCGCAACATCATCTACATAGCTGCAGATATGCCCGTTATGCTGAAGGGGGCACCGATGTCATTTCACTGCTTGCAATGCTTTTGGATTTTCGCAAACAAATGAAATGGCAAACCACTTTGGAAATTAAATTATGAATATTTAATTTCCACACATAAGCGATGTTTTCAGGGGGGCCAAGCCCTGTCCCCCAATCTATTCCCCCAACCGCCTTCTAACCAGCGCATAGTTATCAGCGTCTTTGCTTGAGTCGTATTTCTATGGTGAATGGAGTTGGGTTTTTTTTAGAGTTTCAAGTGACACTGTTAGGCGAAGGTATAGCGTGGTGGCGTAGCTACCCCGTGCGCAGGCTGTGCAACTGGACCGGGGCTCGTATAGGCTGGAGGGGCCCAGTTGCCAAGCTGCAAAGCACAGGGAAATAAAACATGGGGACCTCATTTAACTCTTTGCACCAGGGCCTCCGGTGCAAGGCTATACCACTGAAAACGATTAATTACGAGGATTAGCATGACATTACTTTTATATAACGCTGCACGTTAAATAAACGTACGATGGAACATATGCTCGTAATAATACTGAATTGCCATTCTGTACATTGCAGTCCAATTTTTTCGAAGGTATTTGCCAATCCAGTTTCATTAGATCCGGCGTGAACTTATATGATTGCGTGCTTTTAAGACTGGGCGATATTTCTTCGGTTTGATATCACAACAAACATCGTGGATAATGGAAGTGCAATTCCTCCTGGTGACATCGTAATGGCACCGTCGCACAGCGAGAGGCAGTGAATCACCGCTTGATTGAAATCGCCGCTGCACAGTTTTGTGCATCCCCGCTGTAAAAAAAAGGGGTGAATGGGATGCAGTAAACGACAGCGGCTAAAGCTGCGGATGGAGTGTACTCGTCAGATTTGTGCATTTCAATCAACGGACAAAGTGGGAAAAAAATCTATTTATTTATACGTTTGGCGCAGGCCCGAAACAAAAAAAAGACTTAACCTTTTTTTTCGTTAGCCACATTTAACACGTGTAAAGTGCTGCAGTGGAACCAGCAGTAAAATTGACACCACTTACCCACATGGTGGAAACATTAACGTCGGTTCCATTGACTTGCCGAAGTTAAAGATCGTGACACTATTAGCAATTGTGGGCCTCTGTGTGCCGCGTTATTGCCAAATTAACTACTCAATTCCATTTACTCCGAGTAATGTGTCCATTACTTAAAGGGCTGATATTAAAATTAGGATCGTCCCGTTAATCTGAGAATGAGCACTGACGCATCGCAATATTAGGCGGTCGGTGAATGAGTAAATACATTTTTAAAAGTCGTCTGCATGGCGTAGCGAAAATCACTCTCGCCACGTATGCCACCAAGTGGGGGGAGGGAAACGCCATAAAAGTTATCGATAAAATCACCGTAGCATTTTCACCAAACCCGAGGCATTGTATACTTTTATGTCGTGCATGTAACAGGACGAGTGCATACGTGCGCACGTGTGCAACCTGCGACCAGTGAACATGACGGCGAGACTAACGCCGTCACCAGCGTTATCTCAAACTTAATTAGGACTCTCTTCTGCGTGTTCATCGTTTCATCTTTAAACATCAAATACAGTTTTGGAAAAAAAAATCACCGTGACATTAGAGCGTCTGCAATGAAAACAGAGAGAGAGAAATGTTATATGTGAACAATTGTAAAACACACTTGTAGTTTGGCCAAACTCTTTTTATATATATAAATAAAAGAAATGCGTAAAGAGGCAATTTCATTTCCGAATGCCAGCGTTAACCACTTTCACCTGTGAGTGGATTTTTCTTGGTGGAGTGGTAAATCAAAAAGGCAGCCGTGCAAAATCCATAATTATGTGCTCAATGATGAGTGTGAAAACACTGTTAATATCAACCTTTTAACACACACACACACACAACATTTGCGGGCATGTTCTGCAGGCTATCCGCAGAATTTACCAACATCTTCTTGACCCAGCAATGTCACGTTATCAGCAATATGAACACAAACTATCGAATAGTATTCCCAAGCCACAGAAGTAGACGACATTTCTTTTCGAGATCCACAGATGTAAGTAAACAAAAACATATTTGTGGGCGGCGGCGGGGGGGGGAGGCAGCAAACCAACAAATCACAACCAACAATAAAAATCAAACAATAATTCAACACCGAAAGAGAAAGCAAATATTTTACCGTTCCTTCTAAACAAATAGAGAACGACTCTTTTTTTTAAGCTCTTAAATTAAATAAATATCACTGTCTAGGCGGAGCGAGGGACAGACGCTGGGAAGAAAGGGAATCGCTCCGAGGGAGGGAGGCAGGCAGGCAGTTGGCTAGACGGGGACCGGCGGAGCTGTTGGGGACATTAATAATACACCGCGAGCGCTCTCGCACCACCGACTGCTGTGCCGTCTCACCACGCGTATTTGTTACACGGCTGCGCAAAGGCGTCGTTTTACTGCCGCTCAGCGACGTCAAGAAAAGAAAAGAAAAAACTGCTCTGGAAAAGCCGCTTCATGGAACTGGAGCACGTGGGGTGGGCCACGCTCAGACGAAGCCCGGCTGGGCTTGGCCTCCGTTCTAACAGTTTGTCCACTCGGTTTCATGGAACCCTGTGGGGTTGGTTGGGAGGGGTGAGACGTTGTTGTGGGTGCTGGTTGGAGGTTGTGGTGGTGGTGGTGGTGGTGGCCGGTGATGGTGGTGATGGGTTTGTACAATAGGTCTTTAATAAAGGGAGTTATTACCTTATATTTGTTTACATTACAAGTACAACTTGTACAACTGCATGCTGTTGCCTTAGGGGACGTGTGCGTGCAATAAAGCGCACTTCAAAGTCTTACGTAAATAAATATGCTTGAAAATAAATGTACAATTTCACATTTGGAGACGTGTATATTATTTGATAAAGCAAGCGATCGGGTGACGTGTAATGGAAGAAGGTCAGTTCAACGCGACGCCTTTGGCAACGTGAACGGGTCGGGCAAGTTGCAGGGTTTCTGGTGAACGTGAACACGACGACGATGACACGCGGTATCCACAGACACACGAAACAAATGACATCATGAACACAACCAGTGACACAGAAAGGTCATAATGTATGCATGCATGTTGGACTTATTTCTCATCGTACATAGCCAACCGCGATAATCGGATGTGTGGGGAAGGACAACAAACTAGCAACAAAAAGCAGTTCTAAACAAATGAGTTTTCAATCTAGATTTACAAGTGCATAGCTCCAGTGGCTTCCTAACATCGGAAGGAAGAGCGTTCCAAATTTTCAGAGAGCACACACGCACACACTCAGCACTACTCTTCTTGAAGTATGTCTATAAAATCACCCTCGTTAAATAAGACAAAACGGGCTCGACTCCCCATGGCAGCCACTGGCCAGGAGTCCGATAGCAGGGGTGACGAGGTGCCATTTGTACGCTTCGATTTTCTCGAGACGTCGACTGAAGAGGCCAGCATGTTAATATTCTGTCTGGCTTATTCTGCAACGTTGACGCCACCTTTCGCACCGTCCACGGATTTGAGATTTCCGCGCAGAATAAACCACGCTGGGGCCAACTCGCCGCTGAATAAAAATGGACGTGTGGAAAACAATCCCCTAAACAGCGACGAGTGGACAGAGATTAATGAGCTCTTTCCAGCAGATGATTTTTGAAATTTGACAAGCACAGGCACGCACGGCCTGGCCTCCAATCCAGATAAGGGCACTGGATGATACATTTATACTGAAAACAAACGGCAAACGTTATTAAACGGGCGCAGAGTCAGGCTAAATCCGACCGTACTGTGATTATAACAGATTATAAATGGGTATAATTACAATGTTTAGTGGATTTCAGTCTGCTTAATTAATGGGTGAGGAATGGGTATGGGTTAGAGCGGGGGGGGGGGGGGGGGGTATGGGAGTTTTGGGAGCTGTAGGGGGATCAGTTTGGGGGGGACACGTGGGTAGAGAATATACATTTTTAAATCTATATTGAAAACTCATTTATTAAGAACTGCATTTTGTATTGAGTTTGTTGTCCTTCCCGGTCGGCTCTTTACGGTGCGAAAGAAGTTCAACGTGCCATCCGTAGAATCGGCAGTTAAATCACCAAGCCGATAATCATCACACGGCGCCACCACTGCTTCGTTACCTTCGTCGCAGTACCGCCCCTCGAATCCCGTGCCGGCGCAGTCGCAGAAGGCCTCGCCGTCCAGCACGGAGCAAAGGCCTCCGTTCTCGCACGGGTTGCGCTCGGTGCACACCCTCTCCGCCTCCGTGCCCACTCCCTGGCTCCCCACCAGCTCCGGCACCGAAAAGAAGCCGCCGCCGCCGCCACCCGGCCAGTGGCCCTCATCGGCGCTGTAGCGCAGGTCCAGCAGCGTGCCGCTGAACGGGAACTCCCTGTCGGCCGCCGCGTGCGCGGGGACGTCCGCGGGGACGCCGCCCACGAACAGGTCGCTAGGAGGCCGGCGCCTGCCGGTAGAGGCGACCAAGCCGTGGCCCTGCCCGCGGCCCTGCCCGTGGCCCTGCCCGTGCCCGTGGCCGTGCCCGTGGCCAAAGCTGTGGCCGAGCTGCGCGCGGTCGAGCGACACGGCCCGCGCCACCTGGTTTTCCCCATCCACAGAGAGCTCGACGCGCCGCCCGTCGCGCCGCACCTGTACCCGGTGCCAGCGGCCGTCGTCCACGCGGCTTCCGCTCAGCACCAGCGCCTCCACGCTGCACGAGAGGCCCGCGCGCAGCCGCAGGCGGCCGTCGGAGAGGGACGTCGCCAGGAAGCCGCACGCTCCCCGGTCTCTGCCGCCGCCGCCGCCGCCGCCATCGTCTTGGTACAGCACCATGCCCCGGCTCTGGTTGGTGCGCATCTGGAAGCTCAGCTCTCCGCCAGCGGGGGCCGTTTTGGACGACGCCCCCGCGGAGCCGGATTCCCAGCGCTCAAAGCGGGCCCACTGTCCGCTTGAGCCGCTAAACTCGAGGCCGTGACTCCGGGAGGCCGCCAGCGTTGCCAGCAGGAGTTGCAGTGTCACCGAAGCCGAACCCATCGTCGCCGGAGCAGCGGGTGAAACAAACACTGACCTTCCTTGCCCGCTGCAAGCCGGTTTGTGCTTCAGAATTGTTGGCCGGGGATATTGACCACCTCACTTGTGCTCGCTTTTCGGCAGTTGAGCTTCTCTAGGAGTCTCAGCGTGCTTTAATCTTATGAGCCCGGCGTTCATTGGTACAGCTCCACTCGGCGTTGCTATCTTCCATAGAGGGGAATGTCAATGCAGTTTGCGCGATTGTTTGCGGCGCGGCTCTGCCGTTGCCTTAGCCGAGACAGCAGTGGTCGTTTCATTAATTAGTTGCATAGGTTTTTGTCTTGTTGTAATCGCCGGCTGCTCGGTGTTTTGCGGATCGATCTGGCAGACGAGTCATTTGATACCATCACTAAAGAGTATGACCCATTACGGTGAAACTGCAAGGACAGGCTTTAACAAGGTACTGACAAAATCAGTAATGGGAGCTGTTGGTGAAATTCTAATCCGCAAAAAAAGATTATCTTCTCCTTATTTTGGACTGGTAGAAATGCATTTAATGTAAGCTCCCATGAAAAAAAAGTGCACACGATCGGAGACCTTAAAGCAGTTGAAGGATTGCAGGGTTGAAAAAATGTGATAGTTTAACCGCCCAGTTTGGGAGGAAGAGAGCCACAGATGAGATTAGATGCTCGCGGAAAAAAAATATTCTTTCTGATTTATGTCCTGCAGAAGGCTTCTTGTTAGGAATTGGGAATATCCCAGACAGCTAGAGTTGTCACGATCCCACGAGGCATAAAGTACCGAGCCAGAACAGATTGATTTGTGATGTTTCCAAGCACATGTAGGATTTTTCTCTCTCGCAAGTAGACTTGTCATAAAATTCTGACTCGACCGCCGTAGACAACTTCTGTGGAGGACAAGAGACAAAGAGAGGCACAGAGAGAGAGAGAGAGATAAAGAGAGGGGCATAATGCAATAGAAGCCCAATTAGTAATTCAGCCTCCGTAGCTATGGATAAGTGAAACTGGCAGAGCTCCACACAGGAACGAGTGCGAAACACCTCCCACCACGACAAAGGCAACTTCATATACCACAAGTCCCCATTGTTTGCAATGGTCCTTTGATAGGACGTCGCTACCCCACTCCACTCGCGCAGTGTCCAACACCAACCCATTGAACTTCAAAGATAATTTCATTTGCTCAACCAGGTAGGGACCCATTACATTTTTGACAGTTTAGACAGTGGCCTGTGCAATTCTCATCGGCTAATGGGTGCTCCGACTGACACCGGAAGTTTATGGACCCGGAAACCCCTGTAAAGAGTCAAAAGAATAAAAGAGGGAGAAAAGACGGGCCGATACAGCTGCACAATGTGTGTGTTTTTATTATTACATATTTGGTTTAAGAATATTACGAAAGGCAATGACCAAATCATTCCGTGTGTACCCGATCTTGTCAGAGATAGGGATCTAAGCAGGCTTGACCCTGGATAGTACTTGGATGGGTGACCACCCATGCACAGACAGACGGTCCCCGTAGGGCTATATGATGGGCAGCAAAGGGCTTGTACCACAAATCCATTGCTGTACTCTACCTCCGTGCTCCAACTTATGCTACTCCCCTCCTCCAAATAACCCCATCGTGACCCGCACGGCATAGCGAAGCCCTCCCTCATCTCCGCAGTGGATTGAGAAAATGGCTCTACTTGCACGCAACATTTTAAAAAAACAATAATAATCAGGTCTATTTAGAACTGGCCTGACCCTGTTGTCTTTCCTCCGCATTTCCGATTATCATGGCTGGCTACCTACGGTGCAAAATAAGTACAACATACATAGCAACAAAACAACCGCCATTCGCCACTAAGTGGCGATGATGTCACCACGGCGCTCGTGCCAGGCTATGTGCACTTTAAGGCCGTGTGAAGTGTCGAACGCCCGCTGGCAGGAGGTCACAGGGACAGACCCAAGTGCCATGGGTTGACTGACTGAGATGACTGGCCGATGCACAACCTCTGCCTCCTGATGTGGCAACATATACATACAAAATAACCACCGAGAGAGCACGCTTGCATCGAGCAAAAAAAAAGCTGAGAAAATCCTCCGAGTTGCTGCTGCTGCTGCGGTAGAAAGTCCTTTTGTGAATCCGTCGTGTGGAGAAGTTGATCTCTGTGAGCCCCCTCTCAGACCAGCGCGCGCCCCGAGGCCACACCTGGGTGTCGTGTTCCCGGCACTCTCGTTGAACTCGGCACCGCTTCTGTGCTCCGCTGCAGAAGCGCCACGGCGTGCCACGCGACGGCGCCGTTTACGTCGCGTATAATTTACGAAGGTATTAGTTTTTTTTAAAAAAAAATTAAATAAATAAGTGCCGCTACGCCGCATTAACGTCGGTGGAAATGTAGTTACGAAAATATATATTGCGTAATCGTTTACACTACAGCTGCACTTTACATGTTTTTTTTTTAAATCCAAGCTTTTATTGGAAAATGTGCAATTAATTGCAGGTTTTGCAAGGAAGCTATCTCATTCCTCGGGTGAATGTTTATTCAGGATTTTATTTTAAACTATACAAAACACTTTGTTCAATGCATGCCTGGCGTTTTTTTTTCCCCATAACCCAAGATAATGCTATTGAAGAGCGGGGATATACGGCCGACGCTTTACCCTCCCGTGCTCTGTCGGTGCAAGCGGTGGCGACGACAAACCTATTGCGCTGTAATTCCTAGGAAGCGTTCGCGAATCTTTTTTTTTGTTCACGGCACGAACGGACGAGGCAGCCAACCCGGCGTCTCAGTCGATGATCGGCCACTGCTGCGCGGCCTCACTCGAGGCACATCGAACAAAGACGGCGGTCACCGCATCATTGTGCCGCGCCTTCAGATGCGCTTCTGCGGCCGTCTGGAACGCTCTTCCTTCCGATATCAGGGAGCCACTGGAGCAGTGTACTTTTAAAACATCTCGATTGAAAACTCATTTCTTTAGAACTGCTTTTAGTGCTGAGTTTGTTCTCCTTTCCCCGCATCTCAGATTAGCACGGTTGGCCACGTACGGTGCGAAAGAAGTTCAACATACATACATAGCTGAGCTGCCAACTGCCCAAAGCCTCCGAACCTCTCATCTCTCCCAGGCTCTGCTGCGACCGCCACCCCATCCCACCAGTCCCACCATCGCCACCGCCAACTCCTATTTTACCCTCTTCAACATACATACAGGCAGTGTCGGATTAAGCTAGTGCGGGGCCTGTAGCATGTGATGTTATAAAGGGGTCCAAAATAAAAACAAAACACATTAATATTAAAACGCAAATGTTTTACTTGAAATGTAAAGTATTTGTATTTTAAATTTTGATTTAAAGCTTTCGTGACTGCAGTAATTCATATTCTTAGTTTTTTTCGGTAAAGTCACGTTGAAGAGAAACAACAAAATAACAAAATATATATAAAACAATAAAAAAATTCTCACGACGTTTCGACCATAACTCAAACACCTGATGATGACCGTTTGAGTTATGGTCGAAACGTCGTGAGAATTTTTTTTTGTTTTATATATATTTTGTTATTTTGTTGTTTCTCTTCAACGTGACTTTACCGAAAAAACTAAGAATATATTTGTATTTTTTTACTTGCTATACAGCCAGATAATACGACAAATCGCTAACCTTAAACACCCAGTCATTCATAAAAGTTGAAGGCGGTATAGTACTATAGTAATAGAGCAAGTGCAGAATCACTGAACCGGAATTGATAGCTTGAAAGCATTTAGCGTGGGGCCCTTGAAAGTGCGGGGCCCGTAGCATGTGCTACTTTTGCTACGAGGATGTTATGGGCACTGCATACAGGGCCTCAAATGAAGAGTTCAACATCGCACGTTCACAACTCGGACGCGGATAGAGAACAACGCCTCTTCTAGCTCACACCGCGGAGCGCGCAGGCCCAATGCAGGATGTGAAATGGAGGTTTGTGGTCAGGGCCGAGGCTATTCTCGTTCACGAAAAACAAAGCAAAACATTTTAAAGGAAAATAATAAAGGAGAGGCGTTTTTTAGCCATGCAGCTGCTCAAATTCGTGCAAAAAATTTGCCCATTTTTGGGGGAAATTAGTTATGCCTATACGGAATATAGAAGCTTTCACTAATTTTAGGAGTTGTGTATGTGTGTAGTTTTCCTGCACTGCTTCATAATGACCGAAATGTACATGATAAATCCAACAGGCAATTTGATCATAAAAGCCGGAGCGTTGTTTTGTTGCCTTTACTAGCAGTTACGAGCTGGAAAAAAAATAATTTCACTCATTATAACTTGGGCTTACCTTTACCATTTGTGTATTGCATTAACAACAACAACAACAAACTTGAACTTAAATGACCAAAAAATAAATAGCGTGTTTGGCATCGGTTATGAATGCTGGTAAAATGGTAAAGGGATGAGATTGAATAGACAGGATCGCCCCAAAACATTGTAACAGCCCTGGGCTCACATCAATCTCAGACTGGGCCCTGCTTGTAGCAGGGTAATAATGTTTTCGTCACCAGGGATGGTGGATGGAGGAAAAGGTGTCAACATAAGGACCACATGCACCTGCCTGGGATTTAGTCGGGAGTGCGGGGGTGGGGGGCAGGACAGCAATAGCTTGTCATTACCCCATCAATCCGCACCTCCGATCAGCACGGATGGCTGTGTACGGTGCGAAAGAAGTTCAACATACATACATCAATTAACTGATTATTTAAACGTCATTCACATACAGTGAATATGATGGGACTGACTGGATTGTGGTGGCGTGGAGGTGATAGAGATGAGAAAGCTGCTATATTCTTCTGCCATGCTGAGGCAGGGTTACCTGTATTTGTGTTGGGGTATTTTTTTCTTCCTGAAAAGATGATTGTTCACCTTAATCTATATCTCATCTCCGTGAAATGGCTCTGACTCTCACAAGCGCCTGGGAGAGAGCTTACATTTATTTCCAATTGGTTAAGCCCGTGCTCCATAATGTGACCAGATTCGGGCTTTGGATCACTTGTGAACCAGTCCGGGACAAATTTAACGTGGCAATAGACTGCAGCTTTTACCGGCCCGTGTTAAGACTTGGCGTATTCTCCCCGCGGGTGTGCGAAGAGATTGTAGAATGTCAGAAAATCGCTTGCCTCACCCGCCGTACGCGCGAGAGACGAAAATTATTGCTTGTCATGTCGGTTGTATGACTGTACGATTCCAGTCAGAGCCTTCCCCTGGGTTCACGTCTGGGGCTTCCGTCGAAAGTTTTGCTCAAGCAGAAAACGGCAAGGAGCAATTTACCTTTCGTCATCGCTCCAAGATCTCATTCGTCGATTGCCGTACGTTTGCCGCCACGGTGCATGAAACGTTGGTCGGAATGAAGAATTATCGTTTTAATACTATAAAATTTTCGTTTGGACTATTGTGTGTTCTACCATTCATTTAGAAAATGACAGCCCATGGAGTGGACTTCATCTAATTACCGAGAACCACCCGATTGCTCCTAAAGTACAAGACGCACACAAAGGCGCATTTCAGCCACTCAGCGTGGACAATGCACTCGCTGAGTGGCTGGTCACAGGCCTCCTCTTTCACGAGCACCTGCTGGCTCCGGCAGCCCTGAAAGGAGCCGTCCCAACAAGGAGGGAAAGAGACAAACTCAACGACGGGCAGACACGAGCATCACTCTGGCTCCAAGGCGTGCCGAATGTCCTCCAGTTTTACAAATTCTCCACGGCAGCCGTGGGACAATGCGTGTACTTTGATGTGGTGCAACAAACTGAGCACCTTTTTTTTCTTATTCCAATCGTACTCTCGGTGTGGAGGCACGTGACAAAATATGCGTTCGGAACTTTCGCAGAGAAGTGCATGATTCTTGCGGTTTGCGAGCAGCCTGTGGAGGTGGATATCACAGAA